AGATCTCATTCCTTTTGATGGCTGCATAATATTCCATTGTGTATATATACCACATCTTCTTTATCCATTCATCTGTTGATGGACATCTTGGCTCTTTCCACAGTTTGGCTAAACAATTTACATTCTTACTTAAAAACACTTACTGAAAAACATGATTCTATATTATTATCTAAATGGAAGACCAGTATCATTTGCCACAAAGAAAAGATATAGGAGAGGCCCTCCCACCACCAGCCACAAGGACAGCCATTGGCCGATGGTCTCCACTCCCTCTGCTCCATAAAACCTGTGCCTAAAGCCTGGTGTACACTAAATGCCCATGCCCAGGAGACGGCTTGAGGCTCGCAGCCACGCTTGAGAGCCTAGTATACCCCATACGTTTGCTTTCACCAAGTGACTTTTAAGCTGAACAGGAGGCACAATCGTTATGGCATAAACTTGGTAATGCCAGTTGTGTTACTTTAATTCAATTTAGTATCATAAAACAGTGTGATAATAGCTATTTCTATGAGAACTAAGTTGAATTATCTAGAAAGATGCAATACAGATAAATCTCTTTAAAATCTAGTGATAAATTAGGTGTGAATAAGAAAATCATAGAAGACTTCAGGGGGTGGGGGCCTGGGTGGCTCAGTTGGTTAAGCCTCCAACTCTTGGTTTCTGCTCAGGTCATGATCTCAGGGTCGTGAGATAGAGCCCCCTGTCGGGCTCCACGCTCAGCAGGGAGTCTGTTTGAAATTTTCTCCCTCTCCCCCTCTCCCTGCTCTTTCTTTCTCTCTCCAAATAAATAAATAAATCTTAAAAAAAAAAAAATAAAGACTTCAGGGGAGGTTGTGCAAACACAGAAAAGTTCTCCACTCACACTGCTGAGCAAATTGTGCTTCCCATTAAGGAGACCAAAATTGTAGACAGTGCATTTGGGATGGTTTATATGTAAAAGAACTCAGAGCACCAGTCAGTGGGCTCAAACTGGAAGAAAAGATGGGCCGGGCAGAATATTTTCCAGCAAGTGACAGATGTAATAAGGTCATGAGCTCCTGTGGCAAGTACCTTGGCTGAGGCAAGCCATCTGATGCTCAGACACAACAGAACCAAAGCCATTTGCTGAGGCTTTCTCCAGGAAATTTAACTGGAGAACACCTTTAACACACTGGTAGAACTATTCTAACTTATAAGATGCTATCAAGAGAAGCAATCTCTCTCTCTCTCTC